CAAGACTTGTCAAAAAGCGATATCAGCGAATCGCCTCTTTTTTTCCGAGCGATTTTCTCGCTTCAGAATCCGCATTTTTCAATCGGACTTGAACTATTGCATTAGTCAGGAACCGTGCTCCCGTACATCAAAATCCCACCACCCCTCAGTTAACCTAGCCAATGCCTTCAAGTGGAACATGTATCATAGTCAATGTGAAAGAACGTTGTTGTTATACCAAGGCATGTATTCCAAACTACTTCTCCAGCACCAAAAGTTGCAGTCGTTAAAAAGGAGTTCTGGCGCTTTTGGGCGCTTTTGGGAGCATATGAGTGGAGTGTGGCCGGAGCCTAAAAAAATAGTTCACTCATGCATTCGACTTTCTAAACTATAGACAAAGGTGATCTCGTTGGCCGTCAATAAAGTATTAGCACAATCTTTGCCTACTGCTTGATTCATTCACACGGCTATTAACTTATCACACCAAGATAATGAATAGCCATATTTGGACGATGGGCTAAAGGTTAGTCCCACAGACGGCCTCGCATAAGATACGACGCAATGTTAGGGGTGAAATCGAAATGTGCATGAGAAGTGAAACTGCCTATTGGGAATGACATATAGGCTCACCTATTGATAATCGCCGGAGGCAGGCGCTCAGATAATTGCTGGGATAGGCGGTCCGCAAACTCGCGCTTTTCTGCAAGCGGTCAGCAAAATTTTGAGCCGTGGCCAAACCTTCAGCGGGTGGTACTTCCGTGTTCTGCCAGCGGGCAGCAATACAAAATTTTCTGCAAGCGCTCGAATAAGCGCTCGAATAGCGCTCTCTTTCAGCAAGCGCGGGTCAAACTTTCAGCAGGCGCTCGGACTTTTTTACGCAGTCGGGCGTACGGCGAGGAAAGGCAAGACTCTACATGGCAAAGGTGTCATCGATGGTTCTTTTACCCGAGTTTGGAGTACCTTCTTTCAGCAAAAGGTACCCACGGGCTGTACGGTCTCACAAAAGAGTGGTGCCCTAAACAATATTGCATATTCTCGCGAAAAGTCCGCGAAAGTGCGGCCACTGCTCTGCAATTAATCTACGAAAAAGCCGCAATTGTGCTCTGAGCGTTCGTCTAAAACGTCGTCAACATTTTTTTGTTCTCCGAGCGTACCGCAAGGAATCAGCTAACTATCTTTCCGGCGCCCGATTGCCCATAAATCGCATGGCCGCCTGCCCCGGCGATTATCTGAGCGAACCGCAGACTCGCGTTTTCTTGCAGGCGGTCAGCAGAATTTTGGGGCTGGCCAAATCTTAAGCGAGCTGTACTTCTTTTACTGTCGCATGTTCTCCAGCGGGCAGCAATATAGTATTTTCTGCAAGCTCGTCAAATATATTCTTTCAGCAAGCGCGGCCAAATTTTCAGCGAGCGCTGCGACTCTTGTTACGCAGCTTAGGGCGTATGCTAAGCAACGGTAACACTCTATATGGCAGAGGTGGTTCATCGATGGTTTAATTACCCGATTTTGAGGTTTTCTTTCAGCGGAAGGTACCTACAGGCTGTGAGGTTCTTTACAGAGGACCGTGTGGCACTAAACAATATTGCATATTCTCGCGGAATGTCCACGAGAATACGATCACTGCTCCGCAATTAATCTACAAAAAAGCCGCAATTGTCCTCTGAGCGTTCGTTTAGAAACTGGCCGACATCTTCCGAAAATCTGAAAGCGGAAATCAGCGAACTATTTTCCCGGTGCCCGCTTAACCATAAATCGCATGGCCCCCTACCCCCGCCGATTCTCTGAGTAGGAGTTCTCCGTGATAGCGGATGATCTCGTCTTATTTATACCCAGTTCAGCTGTTGGGAAGGGGTTGGAAATGATCTTAACTGGTTGTCCCCGACATTCTGAGCGGTGAACTGCACACGCATGCACGGCCAAGCGAAAACCCATTTCAGGGCTAGGGGTAGAGGACACTAGGTCGCCGAAGAGTAAGATTTCGCGCGGACATCTGCAACAATGCGCACTTCTCGCCATCACGGCTCGTGGTAGCTGTCCGCAGGGGTAAAGCTTATTGTCGACCTCTTGTCCTCTACCCTGGGCTGACCCTCTGCTAGCGCGGGCCAGCAGGAGACAATAGAACGCAGATGCACACTTGAACACTTGACACAACACTCAACACTTGCAAGTCTGGTTTCAGGGTGCTATCGAACATAACACCTAAGTCTTTAATAGATGTTTTATTCACCAAAGAAACTCCCGCATGCTGATAGTGTTCATCACTTGCAGTAGCACCAACATGGAATACCGAGCTTTTATTTATATTTACTGAAATGTCCCAATTTGTGCACCATTCGACCATGTTATTGATGGCCTGCTGCAGAGCATCTTTAATTGTTCTCCGGTTATCCCTATTGTATATACCATAAATTTTGATATCGTCGGCATACATGAAAACATGTATGTCAGGATGAGTTTTTAGAATCTGGGGTAACTCAGCAGTATAGACTAGGAATAGTAAGGGTGAAAGAGCACCGCCCTGCGGAAGCCCGCTTATACAACGAAAGCGTCCAGAATGATTTTTCCCCACTCGAACCGTCATATACCTGGAGTGCAGATACGATTTTAGCCAATCAAGCAAGGGTCCTCTAATACCATAATGCTCAAGCTTGTGCAACAATTTACCATGACTTATACGATCAAAAGCTTTCGACAAATCGAAACATATAACATCTACTTCTTTCTTATCATCTATTAGCTGGGTTACTGTGGATGCACCGCTGACAAACCCATGTTGTTCCGCGGGTATGAAATTGAACCTTTCCAGCCAAGAAAGAAGTTTGTCACGGATAATTTTTTCAAGGACTTTACATGGTACTGGATTTATGCTTATAGGTCTGAACTCTGTCACAGATTGAGGTTTGGGAACTTTCGGAACAGCAGTAACAATTGCTTCTTTCCAGATGTCAGGTATTTCACCAAAAATGAAACTAATATTGAAGATATGTGACAGAGGGAGCGAATGTTTTCTTGCACAACGTTTGAAGACAATCTGGGGAATGCCGTCAAAAGGTTCAAATGTAGAATGCTTTAGAGTTTTGAGAAAGTTTTCGACAGTAGAAGGCATGATTATAGGTGTTGAGCAGGTATGGTTCAGAGATGCCCCCAATGCTTTAGTATCCGTAGTACTTGTGGAAAAAGTTGTTGCAAAAAACTCAGCTAATGCTGAAGCCTTAGAGTGATTTGTTAGGCAGGTGTTGCCTAGCATGTCTTTCAAGGCGCCGTGATGTTGTAAATGCTGTATACGATGGATATAAGCAAAGAGATTTTTAGAGTGATTAGACGAAGCCAGGTGTCTCTCGTGATTTGTGAGGAATTTCTTGATGTGGAATGTCACGTCAGAACAGACCTTACTGTATAATGGGCGGTTGTACTGAGCAGTTCTGAAAAGTTGTTCTTTCTGGAGCAGAAGCGGCTGTATGTGACGCGGGTATCGTAGATAGCTAATTCTGTGTACACCAAATGGAGTATATTTAGTCAGTAGACTATACATAACACAGCAGAATCTGTAGTATACATCAGAGGGGCTAATGTACCGATCGAAGATCTCTTCCCAGTCAAATGAGTGAAGGTCAATTTTCATTGCTTCGAAATCAATTTTGTTGAACATAGGAAATGGAATAAGTTCATTTTTGGAATTTTGGAATTTGTACAAAAATTCGATGGTACTGTGATGGATGTGCCAAACGGCGCCTTGACGGATAGTTTGTGTACTGAGTTAGCACCTGATAGCACCCAATCTAAAATGGCACCATCGCGGGTGGGTACAGTAACGAATTGCTTAAGGCCCAAGTCACGAAAGAACTCGAGAAATTTCTGAACTTGTGGATAAATATGTTGTAGTGAGTCGCCAGAGCATCTCATGGGAAGATTGAAACCACCAGCGATCAGGATATTCGGAGTACAGTGGGTAAAAGCTAAGAGGAGGTTCACAAGCATATCATCTGAATCAGAAGCGGAGCTGGGAGGACGGTAGATACATATGACTCGGGTTTTAGAGAGAGTTCCGGGCTGGATAGATCAATCAGCTTTACTTCACAACTGCAGTTATTCTCGATTGCAATGCTCTCACATAATAACGTTGATTTAACCAATATGCAAACTCCTCCTCCCTTCTTACGTATTCTATCACACCGAAAAACCATGTACGGTAGATTAGAAACTATTTCAGCATCACTTATTTTCGAAGATAACCATGATTCAGTGATAAAAAGAATATCGGGGAGTCTACTAGTCAAAAAATGATGTAACAGTTGTAACTTGTTTACTAAGGATCTAGCATTGAAAAGAATACATCGCAAAGAATCTCCTTGCTCACAACTCAGTCTCCCTGCATTACAGAGGAAACGTGGTGTGAGCCTATTGCAGACTGAGAAGAAGAAGGATTGTTGCCAGCCAATGAACTGGCAAGCACCAGCTCACTCTTGTAGACAACAAATCTATCTTCAAAGCTCCGACTCTGATTCAGCTATCTAGCCTGGTCCCTCAACTCACGCTCCTTTTCTCTTTCCCAAGCCGTCAAGCTGCGCCGGATATAGACCCCCTTACGAACAGGAGAATCTTTGAGCAGTCTGGCTTGGGAAAGAGCGGAGGCCCAATGACTCCTCGATGGCAGTTCTACTTTTACCAAGCGCGGCATATTAGTCGTTTTTCCGCCCATGTGAAAGATCTTAACTGGCCGACACTCCAAATCAAGAACATCTAACACCTTGCAAACTTTCTTTTCTATATCCTCTTGGCGCGCTGAAGTGGTACAATATTACTTCTTCAGCCAGCGTTCGGCTGTCTTACAGTAATATTGGCGTGAAATATACTGCTGCCGGTGTAATTGCACAATGATTGTTACTTATTTCACGCCAACTTTAACGCGTCATGCCGAACGATGGCTGAAAAGTGTTTTTCATCCTATTTTTCTTTTGCGCATCTACTCCAACAAACAGTTGGATAGAAATCCGATTGTGATATAGTGTTCTTATTTCTAGTCGCTGTCTCTCCTTGCTTAGTCGCACGAATGAAGCTGACACTAACCTGGTAAGCTTTTAAAGTCAAAATGATGTGAATTTGCCTGTTTTTTAGTGTTTTAATTGTTTTTTCTTCGCTTTTGAATGCTTGGTATGCTTTCGATACTTTTGATAGAGAGCCACTAGTATGAGCGTTATCGACTTCAAATATTGATTTCTATTGCAGAGTCTTGGGAGAGGTTGTCAGGCGATGTACGCAAATCCAACGGGTTTGGGACCTGAGATAGCGTACTTCAACATGTTACTGGTCAAAAAGAAGATCTCTCTATCAAAGTTGTTGTTTTGCTATTTTTCAAGCGCATATGCTTTTCAACATCGTCCTTTAGCCTCTGGATGCACATTCACTTTTGCAACCAGAAGCGATTGAAGCCTGGTTCTACCTCTACAGAACGACTTGTGAGTTATACACCAATGACTTTTATGTATAATTCATCAGTACAACCAAGTTTAGGTGACAAAACTTATCAAGAATGACGTTGGAATGCCTTTGAAGCGAATTAAGAATATGCGCGGGTGCGAAATGGTTACCAGTGAAGAGTGTCAAGAAAATCCCTGTTACATACAGGTCTGTTTACCACACGATAATGTTATTTTTGCTGTGATCATCCTAAATTCAGAGATCTGATGGAACTGTTTTTATCTGCTAAGGTTTCAACTATCTCTATCTTCTATTTGCTGATAATCAAAAGGATTTGTTCCCATTGGACAAATGGGTATACAACACCGAAGCTCTCCTCTACCAATTGATCATTAGCATATGCCCCTGACTATACAGATGAGTTCGGAAGTTGCTCTGTCCCTGCTAATCAGATCTTGAGAGCTGCCAGCAGGCCGCCGAAGATGCCATCTCAGTTTGGTTGAGCCAGTTCAGAGCTCATAATCGATTGACCTTATTGTGAGAGAGATCATGCTCAAGAGACTCATTCTTCATCAATCAATATGAGATCACTGACATTAGCTCTAGTTACCCTTAGACCCCGGACAGAGTTAACGCGATTTGATCGCCGCAATTCAGTCGCGACAAGACAACTAATACGAGGTCATTGCATGCCGACAAGCTTGCATTTCGGTTATGATACTTTTCCAGTCCGAATTTTGAATGTAAAATGAAAATGACTGGAAAACACGGCGACGATCAAATCGCGTGAAGTCTGACCGGGGCCTTAGGGTTATTTGCAAACACATTCATTTTCAGCTGCTCCTGCCTATTCGCCTCGTAAATCTGTATGTATCTAAATAGAACTATGAGTTGTTATGTTGTTATTTACTAACTTTTTTGACTTCTAGTCATTCACTTGATGACTTTGATGAAACCTTGATGGATTTTTCATACTGATTCAATGTCCTCTTTCTGTAGAAGAACTGTAGTGCTTTTAATGCAGGTATGCATCTATGTCAATTGTGAAGCGTCTTCTAAATCGTGTTGTTTTTCGTCCTACCTTTGAATTCGCATTTACTCAAAGCAGTTCGATAAATCATGCGATTGTGATATAGCTATACTTATTTCCAGTCACTGTCGTACTGCGAAAGCCAAGCAAGGCGAGGCAGCGACTACAAATAAGTATAGCTATATCACAATTTATCGAACTGCTAGTTTGAGTCCAAGCTGACAGTAACCGAAAACATCACACGATAGGCTATTGCATATTTTTCATTCGCAATCAATTGTCGCCATTGCATTTGTTTACCAGATAACCTTTTCCACCTTCAAAAGGTAGTGCACATTCTTTTGTTTCAGACGTGACTATATTTTGATGTTTAGCTGCAAATGCTGGATCCAAGCAAAGAAAATGCCGGCGAAAGCAATGGAGCAAGTCTCAAGAAGTCTGTTGACGCTGGTGATGATTTCAAAAATGATTCTGTTACAGTGGAGTCTGTCCGGAGTGTAGCAAGCACCTAGGAAAGAATTTATCTGCGCACCTGTTTGATGTACATAGTTACACTAAAGAGGAGATAGCCAATCTACAAGCCGCAAAGCGACGAAAAATACTTGGAGAACAGAATTATTTCTGTGATAGTTGCGAAACTACATTCGCCACGAAAAAAAACCTACTAGAGCATAATAAAATGGAACACGCATCCCGAAGAAAAATCTCATGTCCCTTATGTGGAACTTCAATAGATGTAAGTTTTCCACTCGTGCTCATTTTTCGTTAAGAGAAGTCATTTTATTATGACGAACGGACGCGGAAGACTTCGTAGGATTTTTTATTTTTGGATTTGTTATTTTCTTTCATCTAGTAATCAATGTTACTTGTTTTCATCTGATTATCAAAGTTGCTTTCTTTCATATGATTATCAGCTTACATCCTAATCAGAAGATTCCGGTGCTATATCTGCCTTTCAGTTAGATCTGTTGTACATTAGCTACGAATCATCTTCACTGTTGTCTTTTTTTTTTGATTTGCTCACTTCAATAGCGAGGACTTCTGTCATTCTCGCATCTCCGTTCACAACATCATCTTCACGCATCGCATTCAAACAGATATTTGTGTTTATATCTTTACCAATGTGTCATTTCTAATCTACCTCTTTTCTCTTTTTTGCCACACTCATTGTAGGTCCTATTGCTATCTGACTGAATAACGCAATAATCTTAAGTCGCAGCCCGCTCTGCAATGTATTGAGTGACTCAGGTCTCGATGCAGTTGTATCTAAATTCTGATGCTTTTAAAGCATGTAATACGTAAGGCTCATAAAGATTGCGCCTTTTTAGTCGTGTCTTGTTGTTATGAAGGGTTCATTTACGCAAATAGTACGCTAAAGTCCGTAAGTTTTATGAACTCGTTTTTATATCTGAGCAAAGTTTGTGGCAGTCGAGCGTACAAAAAGTGCACAAAAGTCACAATCAGTCGGGTGTCATATTTTCCACGAATCGACGATCGACGATCGAAGATCGACGCTTTTTATCATGGTAGCTTAAAGGCAGTTAACATTTTTCTAGACGATAAACTGGGTGCGTTCTGTATGATATCTCTGTTAAAGGTTGTAACTAGTGGAACAACAAAGCAAGTCCTATAGCAAGACTGATGTCTTACTTGAAATAATTCTGATTTTCCTCTAAGGGAACGGCCATAGGTTACCGGCAACGGTTGTGGAAGTTGCCAAGGTTGTCAGAGAGCGCAGAACACACGGAGGGTACTATGGGATCTTACAATGACCGGCAACCTCGGCAACCGTTGTCGACAACCGGACCGTTCTCCAATGGCAAAGGCAATGTGAGTCACCCAAGCATAAATAGTGGTGACGATTATAGCCTCACGACGTAGCCCTTACTGGGCAGGGCTTCAAGTTGCTCGCGTTTGGGAAAAAACAGCCCGTCTTCGCATGCTCTATCACTATTTCATTTGATCTTTGCCTAGTAAGATTGGAAAGCTGATACACAAATAAATAGTCGAACCCGAAATGCTTAGTACAGTCGAGTAGATTTAACGGTAAATATAGTGTGCTTGCACAGAAGGTGAAATGCGGTGAAATTTGCGCGTGAATAGGTAGCCACGTCAGTACCGCGGGTATCTTGCGCGCGCAATTGGCCGGCGTCACAATCGAAACTATTTCTTCACGCGCCAATTTCACCGCATTTCACCTTTTGTGCAAGCACACTATATTTACCGCTAAATCTACTCGACTGTACATGGGGCTACAATGTACGGTAGTAACAATGCATACAAGTAACCAGCTAGTATGTGACCTTGTTTTGACTTTAGGTGAAATTAATAGTACGGAGTTCATTGGCCGTTGGGTTCAATGACCACAACGTGCCAATACTTGTCCAGCTGATCTCGCAAAAGGCCGACTTCTTCTTCACTAGTGATTCGCTGCACATCGTAGTCATGGGAACCCAACGTGAAGCCGTTCTGCTTGGCCTGATAAGATAAGCAAAAATTGAGAGGATATTTGCATAGTATTTTTGAGAATAAGTATAAAACAAAAGCTGTACACATTCCACAAGAGTACAAGTTGATAACTCCAAGAAAAATTGCAATATTGCGAAAACCTAACAAAACAAAACCAAAACACAAAACACAACTGTTATTTTTATCATAGGCCTTTTGATGGTTTTTCTTGAGAGAGCCGTTCTATCTATGGCCAGCAGCATGACTACTTCAAAAATAAGTTAAGCTGACGAATTACGAAGACTGACAAGTCCCTCACCTAGTAAGAGTGGTCTTAAAGCCAGCTTTGACAGCTTGTTCAACGGTTGTTCTCCAGTCCATGGCACATCTTCATCTTAAGCTTCTTCCTCAGTTTAAAGATAACGAGAAAAGAGTTAGATATCTAAATATTCATAGTGTGAGCAATCTACTGCTAACAACACAGCAAAAATCTTAAACGATCAAAAACCTTGAGAATTTAAGGTAATAACAAGCAAAACCAAATAAGATTCTTAAATTGTAAACTCCAAACACTCTTGCACAAAACATTCTTATTTGAGAATGGAGTTTGAGACAGATTGAGCACCAAGCACATCTTTTAAGTGGACTTATGGATATTTTGAGTTTCAAATTTTGCAGTAAATTGAACAAAAAATAGCCCTCGTACAAAAATCCATTGATCTTTAGCGCTGTGACAGAACTCATTCGCCCTCTTCTACAAATGAAAAGAGGAGTAAAATGCAAATGGGAGGACAATTACTTTAGAAAATTCTCAAAGGAATCAAATATGCCAAAACATACCGATATCGCCTAGTTTTGCAAGATGCGAATACTTTGATGCGAACGCGTCAATCTGTAACATCCCGTGCAGCTATGATGCTGTAAGATGTGGTGCTCTAGCGATCGCATCATATCCGCCTGGTAACGTGTCATCCCGCATTATGGTTGCAGCTGGCTCAGGAGATAAACTGCGCTCGTCCACAAAACTTGGGCCTAAAATACGACAGAGGTCAATGATGTGACTACCGGACAGCAGTCTAGCTTCCCAGAACACCACTCCTATGTACACATACAGGGAGCCGATCTTGTCAGAACTGATGAGAAACTCTCCAGTTATAAGAGGTACATCATAGCAAATCAAAAAAGTTCAGTAGGTAGCACCAAGTTCAATACATCCATTGCAACACCTTGGGAGCACCCCACAAACAGTCAAAAATGGTTTAAATTTGCGGAAAAAAGAGATTCATATTCAGACCACTCAGAAAGTACTCTTTTCTTGTTGAAAAGACGCTTTGCGCTCCTTTATGTAAGCAATAAGTAGTCGAGTAAACAAACTTGAAAAATTAAAACACAAGATAACATAGCTACCTTGACCACCTCCAGAAGCGACTGAATCCTCCTCTCGCTTTTGTCCAGAACGAGACCCCGGTCTACGAAATATTCTTGAAACGTTCTTATTTCAGCCAGTTCACAGTCACATGAGATCGGTGGTTTACTGATACGCCTAAATACACCTAAAAACAAAAACCGATATATGGAACTGTTTGTTCAAGTGAAAGATAAGAAGATATTAGGAGATAGGAATAGCTATTTACACAATCGATGTTTATCGAACTAATTGTTCGAATAAATGGAAGTAGTAGAGGAAGAGGAAGTAGTAGAAGAAAAGTAGGTCGTTCGGCTGTCCTAAAGCGTTTTTGGCGTGAAATATGTAGCATGCGTTCTGCAATTACACCAAATACAATATATTTCACGCCGAAAACACTGTAAGACAGCAGAACAATGGCTGAAGAAGTAATATTGTTGAAGTGGTTGGTTCATTGCGCCCATCCCCCCTAAGCTCAGGGAGTCCTGCGATAACAATGCTTCTCGATCTGCAATCTCTTTCGATCGCAGTCTCGCCAAACTCTCCAAGCCTCACGAGAATCTCATTTGTAATTTCTCGCACCTCAGGGATATTAAGATCCAAGAGCTTTTTGAATAGCTGAACAACTGATTCGGTACGAGAGTCATCTGAGGTGCTCCGAGGCGAAAGCGAGCCGAGGACCTGCGATGCACTAGAATTGCGAAACTGTGATGCACTAGAATCCATGACGTGTTGTGGCGGAGGAAGAGGATCAGCAGGTTTTGAGTATTGCGTGACTTTGTAGGCTTGGGAGGGATTGTAGTTTTAAGAGGCATGTCGATAGAAATAGTGCAACAAAGGAGGATGGCAGAGAAGCAAAGTTATTGATCGATATGCAAATTAGGCTGAACGAAAATCGGATCTCAGGACCAAAAGTCAGATCAACACCTAGCAACGAATAAGCACTTGAGCGAAAGTCAGATAAGAAGAAAAACAAGGATGGAAAGACTTAAATTTGAGTGATATTGTAAAAGACTGAGAGCTAACCTGAAAACAACCGCTCACGGTCGGCGCAGGATAGAGAATGTATTTTTTATTTTATATCCATATTATTTCGAATACTATTATATTCGAATATTTTATTTTGTATTTATATTATTTCGAATATTTTTTCGTGGTTTTCGCGGACTTCTGACTTGATATTTGGAATCAGGGGTATGGGAAGGCCCTGGAACGGCAAAAACATGGATGTCGAAATTTTGGGTGGACGGTGCCTCTGATATATGATTGCACTGAAGGTGAAATGCGGTAAAATTTACGCCTGAACAAATAGCTGCGCCTCTGGCGCCGGCCAATTGCGCGCGCAAAAAGCTGGCATTACTGGCGTGGTTACTTGTTCACGGCAAATTTTACCGCACTATTAAGCGGGAAATCTACAGAGCTTATCAAACGCATTGTCGCTTGCATCAGCATCTTCACTCCCGCGCTGGATTGTGCGTCTCTTCCGCGAACATCCTCTCTAATCACTTCCAATTGACTGAGGCTCCGCCTTTCCCACGCTCGCCCTGGGAAAGTGATCAGATAGCATGTTCGCGGAAGAAATGCAGGGTCCAGCGCGGGAGTAAAGTTGCTGATGCAAGCGACACTGCGTTTGATAAGCCCTGTACTGTATGCATGCTGTCTCAAATGTTCATGCTTGCTTACTTTCGACAATGCTAGCGCTTGGGCGTCCATGGCTCGTGAAAATAGCTTCAAACAAGAAAGTTTATGGAATTTATTTTTAAATGCCACATTTGAAGTCAAAGTTGTATAGGTCTTTAGAAGACAAAAAATGGAAGTCGAGAATCTCCACGGTTGTACCTTCGAGTAAACCTTATACCGAGACAACGGGTGCGGGAAGTTTCTCACCCGAGTCATATTCTCGCACCTAAGTGATGTGCCTGCTAGGCACATCCGAGCTCGCTACAGTTACGAGCTTTTCAGGAGACCAAGATATCGCAAGCCCCGCCCCCTCATTTAGTGTTCGCTTCAGATGATGAAACCGGAATTCCAAGGAAACTTTCAAAATCGAAGTTCAGAAGTGAATTTGCTCCAATCAAGCGGGGTTTTCGAGATTGCTCTTTTCAGTAGTGTGATTTGTTTGTTGCAAAGTCGACGTTCAGCACCGATGATGCTTAACCAAGATTGAAATTCGGATTTGGGATTTTCAGTTTTTATTTTGATACAAAACCAAAACTCAGGTCTAAGGGGGGCTAGAGTCATATTCTTGGAGCTAAATTTGGGGGGAAAGCCGATACAGGAATAACAACCATTTTTTCGAGAACTCGCAAACCTGAATTTTGGACCTATTTTAAAAAAGGAGACCGCGTAAATACCTAAATCGAATTTAATTTGCATTCAGGACTAAATTTCATTTAAGCCTATGCCTAAATATTTTTTAATGGTCCACTCATAAAATAGTTTTGCGTGGAAGGCGTAGCATTAATTTTCTCCAAAAATTTTGATTCTAATTTTTGAAAATGATCAAAAAAATCAAAAAAATCAAACAATAGAGTGCTAAATTCTTGCAATAAACCCTTTTTCGGTGATGTTTTCTTCTTCCAGTCGCTTGTGAGCGTTACATTTTTCGTGGCTTTTCCATGTATTACTAGGTCTTAAAATACTATAAATTTCCTAAAAACCAGAACAAATTTAGATTTGAATGTTTCAGAAATAATTAAGATGTTTTTCTCTGTTGTTTGACCCCACTCCGAGTTCCACGTCTACCATGAAGCTTTCTGGCATTAGGCCAGCCTCGATGACCTCAGTGACCTGTGCTATATCAGGTTTTAAGAAATACTTGGTGGGTCATTATAAGCGCTGTATCTTGACTTATTCTTGAGAATGAAGTCAGGAGAAGAAAAAACTACGGAATCACATGCTGTTCCTGCATCTGGCACAATCCTATGAAAGTAATCTTGTGAGAAGAACATTTTTTCTCCAAAAAAAAATGTCCAAGAACAAATCCGGTTGATATCGCACAAAACATATACCATTGTGGGAAAAGCGATTTCGAGAACCCTTTAACCTGAGTTTTGGTCTTGTATCAAAATAGAAAACTGAAAACCACCAAACCGGAATTTTAATCTTGGTTAAGCATCATCTGTGCTGAACGTCGACTTTACAAGAAACAAATCACGCTACTGAAAAAAGCAACCACGAAAATCCCTAAATCCGAAATTTGGTCTTGATTGGAGCAAATTCACTTCCGAACTTCGATTTTGAAAGTTTCTTTGAAAATCCGGTTTCATCATCTGGAGCGAACACTAAATGAGGGGGCGAGGCTTGTGATGTCTTGGTCTCCTGAGGAGCACGTAACTGTAGCGAGCTCGGATGTGCCTGGGAGGCACATCACTTAGGTGCGAGAATATGGCTTGGGTGAGAAACTTCCGCCCCCCCCCCCCCCCGAGACAACCTCTCCAGGCGACGAACGACTCAGACTACACTCACTGCGGCGGGAGAGACGGTCGAATGGCTCGTATTGATCGATTGCTACTGACTAAAAGAAACAAAAAAATAAGTTTGAAATTATTTTAATACTTTCGATATTCAACTGGTCATACTTCGTCATTATTTTTGATGTACTGAAAAAAATCTAAGAGACTGGATATCTGCTTTTGTAGAAATGCTTCCAGTCTGGCAATGACGGCTGTCGAAACGAGCGCCTTTCGAGAAATATCCCTGCGGCGGCGCGCGCCATAATGGCGCCGCAGTGTGAGCGGGGCCTCTACTAAAAATTCGGTGCTGGCGGCGCTCGCTAATTGGTGATGCCCTCCTGACGGCGCGCCTAAACGCAGTTTTGCGGGGAAGCCATACTCAGGCAATCGCCGGGGTAGGCGGTCAGCAGAATTTTGGGACGTGGCCAAACCTTCAGGGAGCGGTACTTCCGTGTTCTGCCAGCAGGCAGCAATACAAAATTTTCTGCAAGCGCTAGTCAAATAATTTCTTTCAGCGAGCGCGAGCCAAACTTTCGGCAGGCGCTTTCACTCTTGTTAAGCAGTTTCGGCCGTACGCCGAGGGAAGGTAACCCTCTACATGGCAAAGGTGTCATCGATGGCTCTTTTACCCGAGTTTGGGGTACCTTCTTCCAGCGAAAGGTACCCACGGGCTGTGCGGTCCTTCACAAAGGATCGTGCGGCCCTCAATAATGTTGGATATTCTCGCGGAAGCTCCGCGAGAATGCGGCCACTACGCCGCAACTAATTCATAAAAAGGCCGCGATTGTTCTCCGAGCATTAATCTAAAATTTCGCCAACATTCTTCCAAATATCTGCAAGCGGATCACAGGAAATCAGCGAACTATTTTTCCGGTCCCCGCCTGCCAACAAATCGCATAGCCGCCTGCCCTTGGCGATTATCTGAGTATTCGTATTCTCTTAGATAGGCGCCATTCTAAGCGAATATTTTGTTCAGCTGCAGAAAGCGTGCAAAATCTTAAGAAGCTGAATGTGTGTCTGTCTGTCTGTACGTATATGCGGAATAGAAACTTTCATTTCTGAACCGATTTGGACCAAACTTGGCCCACATACACTTCGGGGCAGGTGTCGTAGGCTACTTTTTGTTTTATCGATCGATATCGATTTTATCGATTTTTATCAATTTTTTGCAGAGTTCACCTACGGGGCTGGGAGTTGGCACAGGGGGGTAAGTGGGCATGCTGATTTCGAAAACAACACAGGGAAGGGAAATGAAGTGTAGAAGTGTGCACAGCAAAAGGCTTTACAGGGATAAGGATGGAAACTTTATTACAGTGTTTTGACAGGGCCGAGCGGAGCCGGGTAAGCAAGCTAGTCTTTCTATAAAGCTCAATGTCTGTTTGTCTGTATGTCTATTTGTGTGTTTGTCTGTCTGTGCGTATGTTCCGAATAGAAAGTTCCATTTTTGGATTGATCCGGACCAAACTTTGCACACATACACTTCGGGCCCCGGCGGGTGTCACAGTCCACTTTTCGTTATCGATCGATGTCGATTTTATCGATTTTTATCGATTTTTTTGCAGAGTTCACCTACGGGGCTAGAATTTGGAGCAGTGGGGGGGGGGGGGTAATCGAGCATGCTGATTACGATACAGTATTAGTTTTCAAGAATTACTATCCATTACTTTTATCAATTTTATCGATTTTTTGCAAAGTTTGAGCTACGGGGCTGGGAGTTGGCACAGGAGGGTAAACGAGCATGCTGATTACGAATACAGTATTAGTTTTTGGGATTATCCGCTACTTTTATCGATTTTATCAGGGCTGGGAGCTGGCACAGGGGGTGGGCAATCGAGCATGCTGATTACGAATACAATATTAGTTTTTGAAATCGTCCATTACTTTTATCGATTTTATCGATTTTTTGCAAAGTTTGAGCTACGGGGCTGGAAGATTAGCACGGGGGCTAATCGAGCATGCTAATTACTAAAATGGCGGGAACAGCGGGAATAGTGAATTGGCATGTAAGCGTAGGTACAGGGAAAGGTTGTACTAGGATAGGGATGAGAGCTTCATCATAGTCTACAGGGCCGGGCGGAGCCGGGTAAGCCAGCTAGTTAACATTGATTTTGCACTGCCCTGCAGCTAAAGCAGGCAATCCTGCGCAGATTTAATTACTTCTACGCGCCTTCTGCAGCTGAGCAAAATAGTCG